GAGGCTCCTCTGGGTGCCCCCAGGCCCTCCCTCCTGCCGTACCTGAACGCCATAGAGGATGAGCAGGGAGGTGCTGAGATGCCGGGACTCAGTCAGAAAGCTCCCCACGTGATCCCTCGTGTACTTGGCCACGATCTCCACCAGCTGGCCCAGAAGCAGGGGGATCTGCACATTCACCAGGGCCGCACCCAGTGCCAGCTTGGGGGGCAGGCAGACCTTTAGAAGGGGCCAGCTTCTTCCCCATCCCTGGCCCTGACCTTGGCCCTCCCTCCCCTACAGCGGTTCCTGCTTTGGCTACTTCTCTGTTTCTTTGAGACAGTTGAGTTAAAGGCCAGGCTGCCAGCCCCAGGGGACCCCTGTACCCTGCACACCAGCTGCTCTGTGCAGGATCTCCTGGTATCCCTTGGCTTCCAGTCCCCCCAAGCCAGCCAGCCCTTGCGCTTCCTGAGGCCTATTCTGAGACTTGGTGAGGCAGAATAGCCGTCCCCATGCGGCTTGCAAACCCCTGACTGGCTCCTCTCCTGTCCCTGAGGTGGGGGAAAGAAGAGGGGCATCTCACCACGATGGCTGCCCCCAGGACCAGCAGGTGGGGGCGCAGAAACTGCCAGAAGAGCTTCCAGTTAAAGTGGGACTCCCCAACATGAGGTCTGGAGCAGGCAGGAGGGGCCTCTTCCGCCTCACACAGTGCCACAAGGCCGAGGCGGGGGCACTTACTCCACACCACAGGGCCTAGAAGGATGCCCCCAACCCAGCGCCAGGCAGAGGGTCTTTGGCTGGGGGCTGGAGGCGCTCGAAGGAGGTGGGCCCGGAGCTGGGACCTCAGCTGGGCCACAGCCCTGAGGAGGGAGGAGCCATGGCGGCCGTGAGAGGACCTGCGGGGAGAGAACAGCATCGATGGCTCGAGGCCCCGACTGTCCCTCAAAGGAACAATACAGCTGCCCAGCTCCGGGCTGAGCCCTCCGGACAGCACCTCTTCCATAGGGTCCTGTGCTGCCTTTCCCAGGGCTGTTCTTTGGCAACCTCAGTTTCTGAGAGGAACGCAAACAGGCCAAAGAGTGGCGGAATGAGACAGCAGCCAGTAATCAGGCCGGAGACGTGTTCTCCCTGTGACGTCACACAGCGGGGCCTTCTCAGCCTCCATGGGCCCCTCTGGTCAGTGACCATCTCCAACCCATGGCTCCTTCTTATCGCAGGACATCACTTTGGATGGCAGCTCGTCTACAGGTGCTCCTTTTCCAGATGAGGACGCAGAAGTCCCGAGGGAATCTGGCTCGGAGAGGCAAGAGAGGGCGAGCACCTCCCCTGAGCCTGGCTCCGTGCTTGCTTGCAGTGGCCGGCCTGGCAGGCGAGGCCCCCACCTCCCCAATCCATGGCCTGCTGCATTTGATCTTCCATTCCCTGGGAGGGAGATGCCCTTACTCTCACTTGATAAAAGAAAATGTCATGGGGGCTGAGAGAGCTGGAATACTTTGTCCCCCAGCAGCAGAATGGGGACAAGAGGAGACCCCCGATTCCAGAATCCAGGCTTGTTCTACTCTGCCATGTGTGCGGTGGCCAAGGCCGTGTGCGGCAGGGCCTGGACAGGCCCCAAGTCTTCTGCCCGCCGGTCAGTGCTCCTTGCACCCCTCACCCTGGCTCCTCCCAGGCCTTGAGGGCTTATGTGACAACATACTCCCTATCAGCTCAAGGAGAAAAAAAGAAATAAAAATCCAAGTAATAGATCTTGTCACCTCAGATAGGCCAAAATCACCTTCTATGTTCTGTGGTTTCCATATGGATCCATGGTCGGGTTGAGTGCTTACTGGCTGCCAGTGCTCTGCCGAGAGGCACTGGGAACACAGGCAAACGGGACAGACCCAGTAAGTACCCTCATGGAGGTTGGGTTTTAGTGCGGAGGACAAGCAGCTAACGACAAAGCTTGCTGAGTGTGGAAAGGGCACGGCAGGGCCCCCAGGGAGCACGGAGCAGGCGCTCCTCCTCCTGTCTGAGGGAGTCAGGAAGGGCCTTCCTGATGAGACTGAGGGTGAATGGGAAGGAGCTGGCCAAATGAAGGGTGTGTGTGTGTGTGTGTGTGTGTGTGTGTGTGAATTTACATCTTAAAGATCATAGCAGGGACGCCTGGGTGGCTCAGACGGTTAAGTGGTTAAGCGTCTGCCTTCGGCTCAGGTCATGATCCCAGAGTCCTGTGATCAAGTCCACATCGGACTCCCTGCTCAGAGAAAAGCCTTCTTCTCCCTCTCTCTCTGCTGCTCTCTCTGCCAAATAAATTAATAAAATTAAAAAAAAAAATCAGAGCAGAGAGGAGAAGGCTGGAGAGGGACAAGATTGGCTACAGGGAGCTTGTTAGAAGTAGAAGTTACCTGGCCAGGAGTATGTGGTGGGATGCTCAAAGATTCAAATGAGGTTGGGTGCCTGGGTGGCACAGTCAGTTAAGCGGCTGACTCTTGGTTTCGACTCAGGTCATGACCTCAAGGTCCTGGGATCAAGCCCCGTGCGTTGGGCCCTGTGCGTTGGGCCCCGCGAGTTGGGCTCCACGCTTGTTGGGGAGTCTGCTTGAGGATTCTCTCTCCTTCTCCCTCTGCCCCTCTCCCCACTCGCGCATGTGCTCTTTCAAATAAATAAATCTTAAAAAAAAAATACTCCCTTTGAAAAAAAAAGATTCAAATGACGTTACTGATGGGGAAGGACTTTTAAAAAACGAATAGAATGAGGTTTTCCCTTTACTCTGATAGTCTTTAGTATTTTCAGACGCTCCTAACTGCATCTCCACCTCATCCTTCCCTAATTTCAGGGAGGCCTGGGTGGCTTCTTGCCACCTCTATGTTGTGCCTTCTTCCATCCCGTTCCACCTGCCTGGTTTTTATGTCTTGTTTTCCACTGTGTACTTTAGGTCTGTCTTAAATTTTAGACAGAGAAGCTCACCCTGCTTCCAATTTCCCCATTAGACTTTATATTCCTTGAGGCAGGAAGCTCTATCCTATTCACATTGCATCCCCAGCACTTAGCAAAACTCTTGTACGTAACAGATGTTCAGCAAATGCTTATGTTTGTTGAGTGCATGCCCTCATTAGAAATGCAGAGGAGAAAAATTTGACCTGACCTGCTACTGCACTGTTTGCAAAGTTTTAGACTTACTGAGGCCAACAATAAGAGATAATGTTGTGCACTGCCACCCAGTATGATAAACATGTCACACAAAGTTGAAATGTTTCACAAAACAATACTTTCCCTAATTTGTTACACATGTATTCTATTATATTCACTTTTCTTTTGGAACTTGAACTCATGACCCTGAGATCAAGTGTCACGTGCTCTATAGGCGCCCCCTATTATATTCACTTCTATTTTTTTTATTAATGATTTCATTCATTTATTTGAGAAAGAAAGTGTGTGAGAGAGAAAGCCCGAGGGGGGGAGGATCAGAGGGAGAAGCAGGCTCCCCGCTGAGCAGGAAGCCCCATGGGGGACTCGATCCGGGGACTCCAGGATCATGACCTGAGCCGAAGGCAGACGCTTAACCGACTGAGCCACCCAGGCACCCCTTATATGCGCTTCTAAATAAATGATCCTGACCCACCAAATTCATTTTAAGATCTCTTGTTGTGACTTGCACGTTTGAAAGACACTGCACTTGTGAACACAGAAATACTTGGATATTATTTGATGTCTTTCCCTGGGTTTCTCTCTGGTTTAAATGATATCAACACCCTTACTCTTTTCCTAAGGACTGTTCTCAAGCTTTTTAATAATTCACCATGGCTACTTTCCAGCTTCTCTCATCTTCTCCAAACCAAGACTCTAAGCAGGGCTTGGTCACTGCCAAGAACTGGGGGATTACCTCCCAGCAACGGACCTTCTAGCTGCAGCTTGGCCCAGCTCTTGCCCTCTTTCAATCAGATGGGCTATCCAAATGACACAAGTTCACATCGACCCACCACTGCCAGTCTGCTGCCTGGCTGGCCTGCAGGTTATTCACTCCAGGATGAGAAAGGAATCAGTCCTTTCTCATAAAGCATTTACACTGGAGTCGCAGTTTCAGGGTCCACGTTCGTTTCCCACCTGCGTCTCTCTCTTTGAACCATGTGTAGAGTGAACACACAAAAACACACATGTACGCGTTTCTAGATTGACTTTCTTTATCTCTGATGAAAGTATCCTTATCTAGGAACCATTTATGTTCAGCTCATATTGAATCTCAGGAGCAACACCAACACTAAATGTCTCTGGACACTAATAATTTTTGTCCAGATTGCCAGACCAATCCCAAGAACGAGGACAGGAAGAGGGGACAGGAACGGCGGCGACCGCAAGGCTCAACACCTGTGCGGCATGGCGCCCTCTGGTGGGAAGTACGGACCCGGTGTGGTCCCCGACCCAGAGCGCGCCCTCCGTCCAGCCCACACACAGATACAGACCGACCGAGTCTCCTGCTGGCACCTGGGTCGTCGCTACAAATAACAGGCCAAGCCCCGGGGAGTGACATTCCACCCCCCACCCCCCCGGGCCGGCCTACAACTTCCAGCAGGCCTCGCGCGAGCCCGAGACTCCATCTCCCGGCGGGCCCCACGCACGGCCAGCCGGTCAACGGCCCGCGCTCCCAGGAGGTTTGTCACTTTTTACCTGACGGCCGAGAATGTCTGGAAGCAGAGGGGTGGTAGCAGCCTGCCTGGGACAGGGCCACCCCGAATCCCGACCCGAAATAAGTGCACCAACATGATGGAACGGGACTACAGGAGCAGCCGGCAACGGCAGCTTCACCTTCATCCCATTGAGATCTCCATGTTGGCTCCGGCCCCCATCCCGACAACCCCCTCGCGCCTCGGCGACGATTGGCGGAAAGATGCATCAATCTCGTCGAAGGCTGTGATTGGAGAAAGCCTTTTCGGTCCTCCTCCTTCCGGAACTGTGATTGGAGACAGCCGCCTGCCCGCCCGCCCCCCAGGCCTGGGCGGGGCCGAGCAGGTGGGGCATTGCCTTCCGCCCACTGCCGGGGTCATCCCTGGGGTGACGTTACTAGGGTATGCTCAGTGCGTCCCTCCACCGTGGGGTATCCATAGTAACGTGCCAGCCGCTGACCTCGGGGCTGTTCTCCTATGGGTGCTGCCGGCGGACTCCAGATGTCTCGGGGTCTCCAAGGAGTGTAGAGTGCTGGTCCTCGGGGAGGAAGGGACAAAAATGACCTGGGGAATTTTTTCAAAACGTCTGCACGTTCCTTGTCACCCGCCCCTTTCTCCCAGACAGGTCAGAGTTCCAGGGACGGCAGGCACGTGTATTTGGGAACTTAACTACCCTGGAGATTCTGATGCACTCCCCCTACTTAACGATTGAGAACTATTAGCGTGGAGGTCCTGTATAGCTTATCGAGGCGCGACCCCAGATTCTTCTTCCCCATAGATGCCTTCCTCACCGCAGTCAAGGTGACTTGCCTAAGGCTCCCACTGCACAGCTCTTGCACCTGTGTTATTTATTTCTTCCGTGTAATTATTTGCATAGCTACCTCCCCCGTGGACTGTGACTTCTTTCTGGGTAGTGGCTGTCTCATCCATCCATACCCCTTTCCCCTCCAAGTGCCTGGCAGAGAAAAGTGCCCTTTTTATAATAAATTCGCTTGAATTGTGGGTGGTGGTAGGGAGGCTGTCAATTGATGAATCTGGTGTGGAACTGGGTAGGAAGATGTGCCAGATTAGCTTGAAGTTGGGCTGGGAGTATGGGAGGGGTCCTAATGTGAGTATGGTGGAATATTGGGGTGAGTGAGGTTGAGGAGCCATCAGGCAAACCCTACATAACCCACCTTGGCAGATGTCTCAGAAAGATGGGAACTTCCTAGCCCCTCTGCAGTGTGGGACTCCATCTTGGGCACTAGGATGTCACCTCTAGAAGTAGTGAATCTCGTTTCGTAGCTCCGCCTCCTGCTGCTCAGGGATAAATTGATGTAATAATCCTTGTCCTGGAAGGCAGCACAGAAGGAGAAAAACAGGCATATCTGGACTCCCATTTTGTGGGCAGTTCTATGATTGCCTCCACATTCCTCCAATGAACACTCTGGACCCACTTTGTTCCTCTCTCTATTTCATGGATACTGTCCCCCTACAACAGCCCTCAGGCCTAAGCCCCTGAGGCCCTGACACCTGGTTGGCTGAGTCAGCACCTCAGGAATGGGGTTCAGTAGGAAACCTGGTGATTCAGGGCCTCAGGAATGGCATCGGACATGCCAACAAACCAGCTGCCTCCTCCTCTTCCTCCTCCTCCTCGTTGAAGTGGCAGCAAGGAACTCAACTCAGCCAGCTCATCTCTGGGTATTCAAATTACCCTTCCAAATCCCAGCCCCCCAACTGCCCTCTGCTGGCTCAGCTCTGATGCTTCTCAGGGGCCCCCCAAAACTTGATCAGGACTAGGGGAGAGGGTTTTTGACGTCTATGGGAATAAAGAAAAAAAAAACATAATAGAACTTCCAAGGGGCCCTTTTCTACTGTAAGTTCCCCAAACCGCTTCCCACATCCAGGACAGCTGCCTCTCCTTTCTTCACTGCCTTCCCCTCCTCAAGTTTCCTCCAACCTGGCCGCGGCGGCGCGCAGTCTCCCCTCTTCCCTTAGTACCATCAGGCAAACTGAACACCAGCCCTGTCTTGTCTTTTTCTTCTTGCTTTTGGTCTTAAAGCATTTCTCTGTTGATCTTTGGTGTGTGTGTGTGTGTGTAGGGAGAAGGGAGGCAAGATTTTAAGGAACCAAAGATTTAACATCTCGGCTTCATAGTCTTATAATCCTTTTATAGGAGTTTCTTTTTGCTGTGTTATTTTGGCTGCTACTCTCTGGCCTCCCCTTTAAACCCACTCGAGGTCTGAGGAGGAGACAATAGGTGTCTCTGGTCTGCATGCTCTTTAGTCCCTGCCTCTCCAGCTTGCACCCCTCCCAGGCACAGAGGCTTGGCCCTGAGAGGTTTGGCCACAGATTGCCCTGGAAGGGACGTGAGTGGTCAGACAGGTGACTGAGAGCTGGGACGCCTGAGGCCTGCCCTGACTGAGTCACTGCGCTGTTGTTGTCACCATCCTTGTTGAAGTCCCGGCTCAGCACCCCAGACCTCTGTGGAGGCAGCAGCAGCTCCTATTCTTCCAAGCTTTCCAGAGAAGCTAGTGGCCTGATGGTGAGGCGAGTGGGCTGGGCGGGGAGCAGAGGGCGGCTGGGGCCGTGGGGAGACCTGGGGCCTGGATCAGTGCCTCTCCTCCCCATGCCCCTGCCTCCTCTTCCTCCTCCTCCATGTCGGGGGCCTGGCGGAGGGAGGATTTCCATCTTCTCTCTGTCCCCTGCCCCTCGCACAAGAAGCTCCCCTTCCTCGGCTCCCCCTCTGGCCCTGGGACCGCCCTGCCCAGCGGTGCAGGCCCCAGGGGCCTCTCAGCCTCGCCACAGTGCCCTCCCCACCCCCACAACGCAGGCACAGCCCGCGATGACCCCCACCTCTGCTCCCCCCTCTTGGGGCTGCCACTCCACCCCACCCCCAGCCTCAGTGACTCCCCCTGCCTCACACCGATGCCCCCAGGACCCTCCTGGGCTGCGGATAGGCCCTCTGATCCCTGAGCAGGATTATGAGCGGCTGGAAGACTGTGACCCTGAGGGGTCCCAAGACTCACCCCTCCATGGGGAGGATCAGCAGCCCCTGCTCCATGTGCCTGAAGGGCTCCGAGGTAAGTGTGGGTGTGGTGCTGTGAGGGGAGTGCATTGGGGAGGGCCTGGGGGCTCCTGAGGGTGTGAACTGGTCGCTCAGGTGAGAGCCAAGTCCCAACAGTCTCTCCTCTGTGCCCAGGCTCCTGGCACCACATCCAGAACCTGGACAGCTTCTTCACCAAGATATCCTTTGTGCTGGGCCCGGCAGCAGTGGCATTGGGTGGGGCGGGGGGCTCGGGGCTGGTGGCATTCTTGGCAGGGAGGCTCTGAGGGTGCAGTGGTTTGGGGGAGTGAGGGAGAGGGGTCCTCAAGAAAGGCCCATCCTGCCTCAGGCTTATTTCTTAACATGCTATCACATCTATAGCTACCACCAGAGGAATGGCTTTGCCTGCATCCTGCTGGAGGATGTCTTCCAATTGGGGTGAGATGCTTGTCCCAACCCCCAAACTCTGTCATCTTGCTTCCTCAGTAGTGCCTGCTGCTTCTAGTCCACCCAGCATGGCCACAGCCCCCCTCACTCCCAGCAGCCCAGGGGTTCAGCAGGGTGGGGAGACCCCCCAGGGCTGGCCTGAAGGCTGACCACTGCACTCCCTGTCTCCCAGACAATTTGTCTTCATTGTCACCTTCACAACCTTCCTCCTTCGGTGCGTGGATTATAACATCCTCTTCGCCAACCAACCAAACAACCGGACGAGACCTGCGTTGCTCCACAACAAAGTAACCTTGGCGGATGCCATCTTATCCTCCTCCCAGTGTGCCCAGCGGTGAGTGACAGCTGGTTGGGGGAATGACTGAGGGAGATGAGCAGGCGAGAACCAGCCATCCTTTTGTCCCTTGGTCTGAGTCAGCGGTTCTCCAGGTTTTTGGTCTCGGGACACCTTTAATACACTTAAACTTGATCAGGAACACCCAAGAGCTTTTGTTTATGAGAATCATATCTATCTGTATTTACCTTATTAGAGATTAAAGCTGAGAATAACTTTAAAATCTAAGAATGCAGAAGCACACATTCCATCAGCTGCTGACATGATGTCACACACATAGCCTCTGGAAAAGTCCATTGTACCCTCATGAGAGAATGAGCGGGAAAATGGCAGAAAACCTGAGTGTTCCCTGAAAAAAATTTGGACCTTGCAGACACTTGTAAGGGCCTCAGGGACTCCCAGGGCGTACACTTTGAGAACCACTGGTTTAGCTGGGTCCCCCTCTCTGTGACTTTTCCATTCTCTCCCCAAGTCTGGTCTCCCTTTCTATTGGGCCCCCACTTTCTCGCTGCTATCTGTCCCGCCCCACACAGGATCCGCTCCAGCCCCCTGCTGGTCTTCCTGCTGATCCTGGCTGCAGCCTTCTGGCTGTTACAGCTGCTTCGCTCAGTCTGCAACCTCTTCAGCTACTGGGACATCCAGGTGTTTTACAGGGAGGCCCTGCACATCCCCCCGGTGAGCTGGGTGGGCGAGGCTGCGGACAGGGGCCCTGTCGGGGGGGCAGAGAATAGGGGAGGAGTGGGGGCTGTGCAGACAGGAGGACCCAGTGGAAGGCAGGCACCTGCCCAGGCCCTGAGTAATGTTAGGAGGTGGGGTACCACCACTTAGAAAACATGGTCTGGACCCTAGTGGAATTTTGTTGATTTAGTTAGGTTATAGAAGATGATTTATGGTCACATGCTTGTGGTCAAAACAGTAGGTACTTAGAGGAAAGGTGGCCATCAGGCTTTACAGCGCAGAAGGAATTTGGGTGGGGCTGGGAAGGATAGGAAATGGGAAGGCATTCCAAGCCCCAATGCAGGAAGTGGGGCAGCACTGAGATGGACCCCCTGGCCTGCAACTGAGTGGTCAGGCCCCATCGGGTGATCCCACCCCTGTGTCTGGCCTCACTTTCTATTACAGTGAGCCACTGTGATGGGCCCCTTCCCTGTCCCTGTTCATGCTTTGCCCTGTCTTTCCTTCACTGTCCTCATCTGGTCCATGCTCCTCCTTGCTCTGTTCCTAAGTTCATTCTTTAAGGCCCAGCTCAAAGGCTACCTTCTGCAGCCAGCTTCCCTTGCTCCCCTCGGAAGTGCAGAACCTTCCACACAGCTCTCCTGCCCAGCCAAGGGGAGAGGTTTCAGAAAGCCCCCCAGGCAGAGCGCAGGGAGGATGGAGAGGGCCAGGGGAGCACAGGTCAGGGAGGGCAGGAGTTAGACCACTGCTCCTCCAGGAGGCTGCTGACCCTTCTCTTCCTCGTCCTCCCTTCTTTCTCCTCCTCCCCTATTCCTTCCAGGGGAAGGGGCGAGCCAGGGATGGACTGGAGAGGCCGGCCTGGAGGGACTTGACTAAGCTGGACTGGGGCAGCTGGGTGAAACTGGGCTAACGTGAGGTTTGCAGATGAGACCCAAGGGAGATCTGACAGCATCCCAACAGACACGGACACAGTATCTTAGGCAGGTTAATCTGGTGGTGGAGTGGGGTGGGGCTCGGGGGTCTCAAAGCATGCTGAGACGAGGAGGCTTCCGGCCCTGTGTTGGCCAGCACCCTAGGAATGGGAAGGAGAGTTTGCATTCCCTGCAGCCGTTCTGTGCTGTAGGTGAAGAACTCCCGCGCGGCTGGGGGAGGGTCCAGAATATCTGCTCTTAGGGAGCTGAAATCCAATACCTGAAGAAGTTAAATGATGAGGTGTCACCGGGAAGCACATGACTCACGGCCTCAGGAGAGGCAGGGGCAGGAGGAACACAATTCAGAAGAGGATGAAAGGAAGAAGTGTCCTAATTGTTTGTGACAAGGTCAGGGGAGGTCAGGGCTTTCATGCCTTGAAGGACAGTGGGAGACCAAGGTGGGGAGAGGGCAAATGAGGGATGTAGCTCTGCTCAAGGTGAGTTTGGGCATCACCATGCCGAGGAATCCAGCTTGCAGGCGCTCAACAGTGCCCTCTCCTCAGGAGGAGCTCAGCTCGGTGCCCTGGGCCGAGGTGCAGTCCCGCCTGCTGGCGCTGCAGAAGAGCGGGGGGCTGTGCGTGCAGCCGCGGCCGCTGACCGAGCTCGACGTCCACCACCGCATCCTGCGCTACACCAACTACAAGGTGGCGCTGGCCAACAAGGGCCTACTGCCGGCCCGCTGCGCGCTGCCCTGGGGAGGCAGTGCGGCCTTCCTCAGCCGCGGCCTGGCGCTCAACGTCGACCTGCTTCTCTTCCGCGGGCCCTTCTCGCTCTTCCGCGGGGGCTGGGAGCTGCCCGACGCCTACAAGCGCAGCGACCAGCGGGGCGCCCTGGCCGCGCGCTGGCGGCGCACGGTGCTGCTGCTGGCCGCCGTGAACCTGGCGCTGAGCCCGCTGGTGCTGGCCTGGCAGGTGCTGCACGCCTTCTACAGCCACGCGGAGCTGCTGCGGCGCGAGCCCGGGGCGCTGGGGGCGCGCCGCTGGTCCCGCCTGGCCCACCTGCAGCTGCGCCACTTCAACGAGCTGCCGCACGAGCTGCGCGCGCGCCTGGCCCGCGCCTACCGCCCAGCCGCCGCCTTCCTGCGCGCCGCCGCGCCCCCCGCGCCCCTGCTCGCGCTGCTGGCCCGCCAGCTCGTCTTCTTCGCCGGCGCGCTCTTCGCCGCGCTGCTCGTGCTCACCGTCTACGACGAGGACGTGCTGGCCGTGGAGCACGTGCTCACCGCCATGACCGCGCTCGGGGTCACGGCCACCGTGGCCAGGTGCTGGGGAGCTCGTCCGGAGAGGGGGGGCGCATTCCTCTGCCCCGGGGCCGAGCCTCCCGCGAATCCGCACCCTGCCCGCCGTCAGCGCCCCCCCAGCCCTGCCGCCCATCCGCAGTTCCTAACCGCAGGCCCCTTCTTCACCCCCATCCCGCCCTCCAGGTCTTTCATTCCGGAAGAGCAGGGCCGGAGTCGTTCCCCGCAGTTCCTGCTGCAGGCGGCTTTGGCGCACATGCACTACCTCCCAGAGGAGCCCGGTCCTGCGGGCAGGGCCAGCGCTTACCGGCAGATGGCGCGGCTGTTGCAGTACCGAGCGGTGAGGGTCCGGCCCGAAGGGGGGCTGCGGAGCCCGCGGGCGCCCGGGAGAGGGCTCGGGACAAACGGGCTCGGCTCGGACAAATGGGCTCGGCTCGGCGCTGGCCATCCCGGGAGCCGGGAGGTGACTGGCTTAGAGGTTTCCGGCCCCGGCGAGCGGCCCCGGGGGTCTCTTGGTCCTGATTGCGAGCGTGAGCCCCCTCAACAACCCCTTCTCAACCTCACCTTGCTTCCCCAGGTCTCCCTCCTGGAGGAGCTCCTGTCCCCTCTCCTCACTCCGCTGTTTTTGCTCTTCTGGTTCTCCCCTCGTTCCCTGGAGATCATTGACTTTTTTCATCACTTCACTGTGGATGTGGCTGGAGTTGGGGACATCTGTTCCTTCGCCCTTATGGATGTGAAGCGCCACGGCCACCCTCAGGTTAGAGCCCATCCCTGGCTGTGTGGGGTTGTGGTTGGGCAGGGCTTTTCTTGCCTCACTCGGAGCAGAGCTGGGTTCCACTCCAATCTTATCGTTGGCCACCAGTGACCTTGAGCTAGTCACTTCACTTCCTCACACCTTCGAGTCCTGATCTGTCAAATGAGGACGTTGACTGTAGCTAATGCACGGGCTGGGAGGATTACAGCAGATGATGTGTACAGAACCCTGACAGAGTTCTCAGCACATTGTAACTCCAGTAAGTGGGAGGAAAGACTGCCAGAGAGGCGGAGACGTGAGCTGGTGAGCAGGTGGGGCTGGAAGAAGGCGCCCAGGCCAGCCCTGGGGTCCAGTGTGCATAGGCTGGCAAAACATTAAGCCCACGCCCTCTGCTAGTGCAGGCTCTAGACCCAGGTCCTGCTTTACTGCTGTATTATTGGGTGATCTTGAGCAAGTCCCCATCGTGGCCTCTGTTCTTTGACCTGGAAAACGGGCCAGTGTTTCCTGTCCCGCTTACCCCACGAAGCTCCCACTGAAAGCTATAAAAGCAGTGTCCACAGCATCTGAATGACTGACTGTTCTTGTTCTCAGTGGCTCTCGGCAGGACAGACAGAGGCCTCACTGGCTCAGCGTGCGGAGGATGGAAAGACTGAGCTCTCCTTGATGAGGTTCTCCCTGGTGCATCCACAATGGCGCCCCCCAGGGCACAGCTCCAAATTCCTGGGACACCTTCGGGGCAGGGTACAACAAGATGCAGCAGCCTGGGGCGCCACCTCTGTTCGCAGCCCCCCCACGCCTGGGGTGCTCAGTGATTCTTCCTCACCTCTGGTGAGTTGCAGCCTGGCCTGGCCTTCTGCCGTCACCATCCCCAGTCCCTCCATTCCATCTCACTTTTTGTATTAACCTGCTCCCTGGTCTAGCTTGCTCCAGGCCTTTCCTAGGCTTCCCCCCTCCCCTTCTGTCCTCTCTTCTGATGCCCTCTTCTCTTGCTCCCAGCCGGAGGCCTTCCTGGCCAACCTCTTGGTGCAGCCCCTCCTGCCCCCACGGGACCTGAGCCCCACGGCCCCCTGCCCAGCTGCAGCCACAGCCAGCCTCCTGGCCTCCATTTCCCGCCTTGCCCAGGACCCGAGGTGAGGGTGGGGCACGGAGAGGCAGGGCAGTAGCTGGTGAGGGGGTTGCTGGTCCTCAGGAGGAGTACGTAGGGGCCCTGGGAAGGGGAGATCAAGTCTGGCCCTCGCTGTGCGGTGCAGGGGGGAGGGGCATGTCTTTGGTGTACTGTGTTCTCTGTTTCAGCTGTGTGTCCCCAGGAGGCACTGGGGGCCAGAAGCTGGCCCAGCTTCCAGAGCTTGCTTCTGCTGAGATGAGTCTTCATGCCATCTACCTGCACCAGGTGAGCAGGGGGATACCAGAAAGAGAAATGTGGGGAGAAAGCAGCTGAATGAAATGGAGATGGAGTGGGGGGCATAGAGTGTAAGGAAATACTCGGTAGGAGCTCAAAGAGGAGGTCTGAGAAGCCTCTGCACCTAGTCCAGGGTCTGGATTTCCCACTGTGGGGCACGAGAGAGCCCATCATTCCTCTTCCTTCCATTTAGCTCCATCAACAGCAGCAGCAGGAACTGTGGGGCGAGGCTTCAGCTTCTTCCCTGTCCAGGCCCTGGTCCAGCCCCTCCCAGACACTCTCGCCCGATGAGGAGAAGCCATCCTGGTCAAGTGATGGTAAGGTGGTCAGGGTGTGCAGGGGACAGACCCTGGGTGGACAGCGGGCATCACCACACTGGCCAGCTGATGGCTTTTCTCACCAGGCTCCAGTCCTGCCTCCAGCCCCAGACAGCAGTGGAGAACCCAGAGGACCCAGAATCTGCTCCCTGGAAGGTTTCAGGAGACCACAGACACCCAGAAGGAGCCTAGTCAGGCCCCTGGCACTGACTGAGAGGGCTCCCCAGGGTCAGTGTTGTCTAATGGAGCGGGAGGGTAGGGGTGCGGGGGAGTTGGGGAATGAATAGAAAATTGGGTGGAGCCACACTTGGAGGGATGGGGGCAGTGGTGGGAATTCAGGGTGATAGGGATGGTCATCTTTGGAACCTAAACCCCTGGAATGCTTGCCAAGAGCCTTCTCTTCCCCCAGGTTCCCTGGCTTCTCCAGCTATAGGAGATCAGACAAGGTGGAGTGGAAGGACGTGACACCGAGCCCTCTTTAGAGACCCACCCCCGCAGACTATAGGCCTAAGGACGCTTTAGTTGGGCAGGAGTTGGGGGAGGTTAGTGATGAGCTCACCCAGAGAGCAGAGAAAGGGTAGGAGAGGAGATGCCAAAAGATCTGGAAACAAGTCTCGGAGATGATCCCCACCTGGAGGGCTAAGGGGACACCACCCCAACTAGCTGTCTCAGCAATTGCCTGGGAAGCAATCCCCAGGGATCCTCAGGGTGGAGGACAGGGCCAAGGCGGAGGCCTAGCTTAATGTTAGGGAAACAGTTAGGGACGGGACCTGAACCCCAGTGGGCCCTTCGAGCTGGCCTGGCCTTCAGGGTCCCACGGGACTTGTGGAGGGAGGGCCATGGGGACTTGTGAGTGGGAAGACTACGGAGGGCTGATGTTTTTGGAGTTCAGCACTGGTGTGATGTCGGAGAAAGTGGGTGTGGCTCCTCATCCTGTCTGAAACCAGCAGTAAAGGTTGCGCATGGCTGTGTTGCACATCTTTGTGACCTTAGTCGCTGGCATTCCCACTCCTGGTAGCTGAGGGCTGTACCTGTTTCTCAATCAGGAGCAAGGAAGCTACACAGAACTGTCTGTGATTGGCTGGAAACCACATTTCTAGAGCGCTGGGTCAGAGTGGAGTATGTAGGATAGGACCGCCTTTTAAAGAATTACTACGACCTTCAACTGCACAAATTAAAAGACAAAGCTTGTCATTCTGTAATTTTAATCAATGGGGCTGGGTTAGGCATCTTAGTAGCTCTCATAACACCTGGTCCAGTCTCTTATGGTGAATCTTCAATAATAAATATTTGATTTAGAGATTAGGTTTCAAGATAAGATACTCCTGGGGGAGGTAAAGGGAATCTAAAATTCACCTAAGGAACACAAAAAGGGTGACAGTAGGCCCTGGGAGGGGGCCTCCAGACCTGGGACAAGTAAACAGACCTAGAGAGGGACATTCCGCTCATTCCCCGGAATAAGGCGATTTAGGGCAGACTCTGGACAAAGATGGGAAGCACCTCGGGAGGGGAGAGGTGGCTGGTCTGGTGGACTGACGGCCCCTCTCCTGGAACTGGGATGGAAAACAAGAGGACTCTCAGGGGCTGGGGGTGTCTGGGCCAGGCGGGTCGAACGCCCAGGGCACTGCGCCCCGCAGATGTCGCTCCTGCAAGGAAAAGCTCTGGGTGCGTATGCGGCTTGTCACCTCCTGAGTGCGCAGTGTGAGCCCGAAAATGTCCTCGTGATAGCGTTGCTGATCCTGCGGGGAAAGAAGGCCAGAACGGGGGTGGGATCCAAGTAGGAGTGGGCCCCGCCCCGGGCATGACCCCGCCCCGGCGTGGCACCGCCCTCCGCACCCGCAGCACGCCGATGACGTCGCCGGCCTCGTCCAGCTCCATGTCGCCCTCCGTCGCTAGGATTCGCTGCACCGTCTGCAGGACGCTGGTTGCCATGGTGACGTCGCCGCACACAAACATGTGGCCCCGCTCGAGGCACAGCACGCGGTGCACCTCAGCAGCCAGCTCGGTCCGCAGGATGTCCTGCACGTAGGTCTGAGGGGAGCCGGGGTTAGGGGCGCGCCCGGGGGGAGGGGTTCTTGGGGGGAGGGTCCGGCCCTGGGGGCGAACAGTTTCTGCGCGGCCCCGGCGGCGCCTATGTGCGTGGCGTTGGGCTCTAGAGAGGTGGAGCCAAGCAAGGGGCGGGGCTAGGGTGCAGGTGCGGGAGACCAAAAGGCACGCGGGAGGGGCCGAGTGGGGGCGGGTGCCTGAGTGACGCCGGGGGGGGCGGTGCTGAGGGGCGGGGTGGAGGGTGCGCACTCGAGGGGGCGGGGCCGGGCCTGGGTCTGCGCGCCCCTCTCCGCCCTTCCCCGGTGCCCAGCCTCAGGTTACCCCCGCGCCCTCAGGGTGTCGCACCTTAGGGCTGTCGGGCTCCCGGGAGAAGGCGGTGAGGACGCGCCCAAAAACTCCGCGCTGCTGGGCATCCCGCACCTCGTCGCGGTAAAGGTGGTCGAGCTGGGAGCATCGGCAGCCGAACACCAAAGTCATGGGGGCGGGCTGCAGCCCTGCAAGCAGCACTGGGGCTTGGGAGAGCCCTCTCCCCGGGGCGCAGCCCTAGCGACATCTCCTACTGGCTAACCTCGCCCAGGCGGACGGCCCAGCCACCTTTCGAATAGAGACAACCACTCTCGGCTGTCTAGCCTCCAGGAGAGCGCAGGATGCTCTCACAGAGACCTTGCCTGACCCTGATTTACAGAGAAGACGCTCACAGAAAAGCAGATTACGATAGGTGGTGGCTCATTGGGTGGAATGACCAGTGGTGGCACTGCATGAGAACGTGGGGCTTCTGACTTAGAATTCCAAGCCCTTGGCACCATCTAACACGGAAGTTCCGGGATTCCATCTAGCCCTGTCCCTGCTCCAACCCCATATTCTTGCACATCCTCAGCTTCCACATTGTCTGCCTTCCTATCAGTCACAGCCCCCTTCTTTTGATTTACCAGCTGCCTTGCACACCCCGTGTCCAGCCTGAACATCCTGTAGCTTCTTTGAGTCTTGGACACACTTAGGTGAGCTCTGGCACAGTCCCAAGTACACTTTGGGCATTTCTGCCTTCTGAGTCCTAGTCCCATCCTCTCCAGACTTCCAGTTCCCCTCTCCCCTTGTCCTTAACCCAGTCCCACACCTACTTTGTGTCTGGCCCCAGGAAGCTGGAACAACAGGGCACTGTCCTCCCCTTGGTCTAATAAGCTTCTTTTCACCTCTGTGGCCCATTCCTTGCCCTCTTTCCTACCTGGCTTCTGTCTTCCAGCCCCCGTCCCTTTCCCCCTAGATTGTGTGACTCCCTCCTGTCTTCCGGTCATTCCCTTGGTCCCCAGTCTCACCTTTGCTGTCAATGTCGTGCAGCCGCTCCTGCCAAAATCCCCGGAAGGGGGCAATACCTGTGCCAGGGCCCACTAGGATGCAGGGCAAGCTGGGATCAGGCGGTAGTCGGAAAGAGGGAGCCCTAGTGGAGGAACACTCTGTCAGGGCCCTGTGCTTTCCCAGCTCCCACATTCTTACCAACTTCGACTCCAGTGGACAACTCAACTTCCACCGGTAAATGGGTTGTCGAGTGCTTACGACATAGTCTAGCTCAGAGTGGGCATGGTGTGTTATGAAAATAATTCTACTTGCAGGCAGAAACTCCCTGGACCTGTGTTTCTGGAGGTTGGGTCAAAGGGAATATGATTTAATTTGAATTGAAGAATGTTCTGATAGCTCAGTTAGGAGATTTACAACATATGGGAAGGGAAGGACAGCCTTTGGTTCATAACGAATTCACTGAGTGTTTATTTTAAATCCTAGCCTTAATATTGGTATTTGGTTTGTATTTAGTAGATTGGTACAGTTTGTGATTTGGCCTCCTGGATGTTTTTGGGTTACTGGACCTAACTGGTGCCCATTCCGGGAACTCTTTTAAGTCTCTCTGCGCCACCCCCCCCCCCGCCCCCTGGGGCTTTGGGTCCTGGCTGCTGGATGGGGCAAGGCTTCTGAACCCAGCACCAGGGAAGGGTATCCTGCAATCTTTTACTTTCTTTGAGTCCTCAGTGATACTGTGGTAACCTAACTAGTTCTCCCTGGACTAAGTGGGGACTTGGCCTTGAACAGGGCACCAGTTCCCAAGTGCCATGCCTCCCAATATCAGACTGACCCCAAGAATGTAGCGAGGGACATAGTTTACCTAAAAGCAGCAGGGCCTGCAGATTGAATCCCAGCCCTGTCTCTGGGAAGGGAAGCTTTGGGACAGGACCCTAAGTCCAAATTAGCGAAACACCCAAAGCTTAGTCAAAGTTCTGAAGTAGCTTAACCAGATACCCCATTCTCAAGATGTGTTAAGTGGGTCCTCCCTGCTCCCCATCACACCCCTCACCAAAACTCCCACCCTCACCCTGTGCAGCCACCTGCTGATTCCTCCATCTGTCCCTGACCATCCATGTGGCACTTTGTCCACCCCTGCTTGGACAGACGCTCTCTTCTTGATGTCCCTTCCACCCCCGTCCCCTGAAGTACTCACTTACCCCCTGATGAAGCAGGGTACGGGATCTCCGGCCTTCAGTTGGCTCAGCCATGTGGAGCAGACTCCATAATGAAGGGGGCCCAGTCCATCTGGGGGTTGGGGAGGAGAGGGTGCCCATGAGGGGCCCATCCCAGGGTCACTGTGTGGCCCTGCCCCTGACCCTCCAGCACCTCACCCTGCGTCCTGTATGCCAGCACGGCTACTGTGAGGTGGATCTCTCCTGGGTGGGCGCTGGGTGCTGAGCTGACCGAGTAGTACCGGGGCTGGAGCAGGGGCAGCTGGGTGAGGATCAGGGGGGCGGGCAGTGCCACCGATGGGAACTGCTCCAGCACCTCCAGCAGCGTGGGGCAGCGGAACCACTTCCACTCCTCGTAGCGCCGTGGGTCCTGGTGGGAGCAGGGTGCAATGGGCTCAGAACCTCCCAACCCTGCCTGCTGACCTCCCTTCTTGACTCCTCCTGAGCCGAGCCAACTGGGGTTTCTCCCTTTTCAGTTCAGGCCAACAAACATTTCTTGAGCATCGAGAATTCAGAGCTGAATTAGTGACTCCAGAGCTGGGTCTTAAACCCCAGGGTGTGCTAGCCAGGTGGACCCCCCTTTCCCGCCTGGCTCTTCCTGCTTCTCGAGCCCCTGCTGCCCACTGGGGCTGCCCGCACCTGGCTGAGGCTCTCGAGCTCCTGCTGTTCGCTGGACTCTTCGGCCAGGGTGCTGAGCAGTCGAAGGAGTTGAGGGCTGGGCGGGGAAGTGATGTCCAGGAAGAAGGTGAGAGCCTGGCGCAGCGTGCATGGGGGCAGCCGGGGGTCCCGAACCCAGCTGGGGGGTGGTCCACCTGTGGGTGATGTACAGGGGAGGTCTGAGGAAGGGGCCACCTGGAACTGCAGAGTCTGAGGTGGTCATTGCTTTGGGGGTATCCCAGGACCGACCACGCCTTGTGTTTTATTGGAGACCTTGCCCTTGAACAGTGGTGATGGGCCTGTCTGGGCAGCCCCTTTGTGTGTGTGTTTGGCGGTCTCTGCTTGGTTTGGGTTGGTCTGGGTTCTTATTTTAATGCCAGGCACCGGCGTGGCAGGAGATAGACTGAGGCCAGCTACAGAGTGGGCTAGGCTGTCAGGAGGAGACTTTGGGGGGAGCCCAGAGGGGTGCAGCCTTTTGGGGGGAAGGGGCAGGTACTGAGAAAGGAGCCACACTCTGTGGACCATCCAGCCACAAGGTCAGTCCGACAAGAGGGAGCACAGCCGGCTCTGAGCACAGGCGTTACGGCTGTGAGGGGAGGTGGCAGTCCTCTACCAGGTCCCTCAACTCACGGGGACCCTGAGGCCAGGGGGATGAGCAGGCTGTCACTCGTGCCCCAGATCGCTCGGCCTTACCAGGGCTGCCCTTCTCCAGCTGCTCCACGGCCACCGGCTCTCCTGGTGGAGGCGGGTCCTCCACGCGGCTCAGCAGTGCCTCCACGAGGCCGGGCCGGTTGGGTGGGCAGATGCCTATGTGGTCCCCTGGCTGGTACTGCAGCGCCTCCTGGCCTCCAGTGTCCAGACGCACCAGGATCGTGGCCCGGCTGTGGGTCAGGAGTTGGGGCAGTTAGAAGGGAGCGAGGAGGGCGTGGGCGGGAGCATGCTGGGACAGAGGGAAGGAGAGGCCAGGACAGGTGTGTGTGTGGGGGGGAGGTGGTCCTCCTCACGTGGACTTGCTGCTTTGCAGGTTTTCCACTGAAAGGACCGTAGCCTGGAACATCTTCCTCCTGTGCACGTGGATCAGGCCTGGGGGGAGACTGAGACTGAGCTGGGAACCCGGCCGGGTCGCTGACAGTTAGTCCTGGGACCCTGGGAGCCCAGAGGGCCAGCGGGGTCAGGGGGAGGCCAGAGACTCACCTGGCAGTAGCTGGAGGCCCTCGGCCTGGGCACTCAGCCGGTACCTCTGGCGCTTCCAGCTCCGTTTGGGGCTGAATATGTCCCGGGCGGCGGCCTTGGCGTCCTGTCCCACACAGAAAGTCTCACAGGAGGCCTGAGGGGCGAGATGGTGAGGGCTGAGGGCCTCGGGCCACCAGGGCGAGCGGAGCAGGGAGGAGCTCAGGGAGGCTGAGGTGGGAGGCTGAGCTGGGTTGTGGGGTCCCCAGAGGCCACCTTCCTTCTGTTCCTGGGACTGGGGGGGCCCTCTCGCCTGCGGCCTCGGCAGCCCCAGTAGCTGAGGCTGACAGTGCCTGTTCTTCGACCCATTTCATGGCTTGGCCACTGCACTGACTCTCCCTTTGCACGTATTTACTCGTGTCACACCCACTGGTTCCATAATCTGGTGAGTGGTACTCTCAGGGAGCGCGGCACTCGGCACACGGTAGCACTCAGTGAACGCAGCTGTGCGCTCGGAGTGCATTCAGATTCTGACTCGTCTGCTTATATTCCACATGTCTCGCTGAGCCCTCTTTCCACCTCATTAGGTTCCGGGGAGGATGAAATGAGATGCTTTATGTAAAAACCCTACAGTGCTCCCGGAGGGGGACACCAAATTTGGGTGGCTGTGGGAGGGGTCTCTGGCCGCTCTGTCCTTCTTGCGTTGCTCATAAGGGCTAGAGGGGCCCCTGGGGCAGGACCCCTGGGAGGGTACATATCCTATTTGTCTCTGTTCAGGTAGGAGTCCTGCAGACTGCTGGTCCCGGCCCAGGCTTGAAATCCAGGGCTCACCCATGATTGGTTGCTCCTTCTCCTCCCAATGCGTATCACCAGTCCTGTTAATCTTTCTTTTGTGTGTGTAAGGTCTTATATCTCTTCCTTCCTTCCTTGGCCCCCTCCCTTCCTTCCTAGCCCCACTGCTACCACCCTAGTTCATTCAGCGTTTTCCTGCTTTCTAGTTGGATGTTCCTCTCGTTGACCCTGCGTCTCTAAAGCAGTATCCCTAAAACTTCACCTTGTGCTCCTTTTCCTGTTCTACTCTTAGCTTCCAGTCGCTTCCTTTCGTCCGGATTCTTGTTTTCCTTCCTGTTCTCCTCCTCCCAGCCTGAGCCTATCTATTTCTTCAGCTTGACTTTCTCCTTCCCAGCAAACCCTCCACCTGTGCCAGGTGCCCCCACAGCCCTCCTCCTTGCATGTACCCCTTGGCTCCATCGGGCCAGACCTGATAAACTCAAGCCTGGGAACCCTGGGTGGGGCGAGCACTGCCCTGAAAGAGTGTTAGGACGGGGAGAAGGAGCCTGTTCACCTCCAGGCATAATCCCCAGACCAGGCAGAGCTGCCTCTGGGGGAAGCCCAGGCTGAGAAAGTCACAGCCCTGGGATGCACCCCTCCTTGCACTTCCCTGAGCCAGGACACCATCTGTCCAGGCACCTCCCCAAGCCTGTCTGGCCTCTGACTTTCTGTAGGTTCTCCTGGCCTCAGTTTCAGCCCTCGCCTCTGTCCAGCCTTCTCTTGGGCCTTCCCCTCTCCCTCCACCCTGCCTGCCATGCATGCTCACCCTCTAGGCTCCCACTCAGGGGCCCCGTCTGTGCCTGGCTGAAGCTCTACCTGCGGGGGCCCTTTCTGCTCTCCTCTGCCTGGGCCAGCCACCTCCCGTGTTGTTAGGGCTGCGTCATCCACTGCTGCGGACTGAGCCAGAAGGGCTGGCTGTACAGTGGTGAAATGAGGATGGATTTTGGAAGGAACAGGATGGGACCAGAGAACCAAACAGAATCAGGACAGCAGCAAGGCCTCCAGCCTCAATATTGCATGTCTCAAAGGGGAGGGGTGCAGGTGGGAGGGAGCCAGAATTGGGGTGGGAGGCGAAGCCTGGGTCACACGTTTGAACAGGCCCAGGGGCTCACCTGGAAGGCGGCCTGGGCCCAGCCACGGAAGGCCTCCTCCTGGCCACACAACTCATCTCCCTGGCCCAGCTGCAGTAGCCGCTCCCCGCCCAGCTCTTCTAGCCGTGTGTCCACCGCACGAGCGAAGGCGCAGAAGTGGGGGTATGCCCGGGAGCCCAGGCCGAACACACAGAACCTGGGGTTCAGGGAGCCGTCACTGGAGCCCACACCTGTCCCTGCCCCCTGTATGCCCCGGCAGCCTGCCCTCCCTCCCATGCCTCCCCTCACTGCAGCTCCCACACCTGAGGGTACCCAGGGCCCCTGCGCTATCTGTATTACTGGACTCCTTTCTCTTCCGTCTCCAGGAGGACACCAGCGGGTCTGAGCAGGAGACGCTGTTGAAGCGGATTTTGTAACTCCTGGCAAGAGAAGACAGAGACAGGGCTGTCACAGAGAACTGGGAGCATGGCACAGGCCCAGACACAGCCTGGGGACAGCTCCGGGGTCTCTACATCTGGGATGGGAAAGACCCTGCCCTTGGGCTTGGCTTTGTCGCCCTGGGGATCTCTGTGCCTTCAGGCCCCATTGTGCCTCCCTTCCCTTCTCTGAAGGGGACCTCAGGACTGACCAGCCCTCAGAGTTCCGGGGGCTGTGAATGGCCAGGTCACAAGGAAGTAGGGCATCCTGAGCTGTGATGGGGGTCCAGGCCTCCTCACATCTGCCCTCTAGCTTGTTGGAGGCACAGAGGGAGACCATTTCAGCCCTCCTTTCCTCACTGTCTCCACATGCCTCACTGCCCTCCCTCCCACCTCCCCCTAAGCTCCGAGCCCCACTCACTTGTGCTGTTCTGGCCGAGGGGAACTGTTGTAGGGGCCGGACATCTCCATCAGGGCTGCCGCAAAACTCTGGGGAGGGGAAGTGTCGGTATCATGGTTAGTTTTGTTTTATTTCAAACCACACAGAAGTTTAAAACTGCGGTCGACTGATCCTTATTTATAAATTCTGATTTTAATTTGTTTTGAAAATTTTATTTATTTATTTATTTATTTTTAAGATTTTATTTATTTATTTGACAGAGAGAGACACAGCGAGAGAGGGGACACAAGCAGGGGGAGTGGGAGAGGGAGAACCAGGCCCCCCACTGAGCAGGAAGCCCGATTCGGGGCTCGATCCCAGGACCCCGGAACCATGACCCGGGCCGAAGGCAGATGCTTAACGACTGAACCACCCAGCCACCCCTGTTTTGAAAATTTTAAAACTGGTATTGGCTTTTTGAAAACATTACAGAACCATAAAGTAACAAAAGAGAAAAATCTGCCCTTACCTTTCCTCCAGTCCTCGCCCCCAAGGCATGTGCTCTATGGACAGGTGTTTAACCTCCTAGATCTGTTCAGTTGTACTTCCATATGTATCTACCTTTATAGTTTTTCCAAAAAGTAAAAATGGGGCTACACCATACTTAGCTGCTTTTTCCTCAGCAACCTATCATGGACCTCCTTCCAGGTCAACACACCAAGACTGACCTTCTTTTGAATGGCTGCATAGTGTCCCCACATTCTCATGGACCACATGCAGGAGACTTTCGTCTGACTCAGAATATCTGGGTGGTCTGTGACCAATGCTCAAACACTTGTATATACACACATCCACCTCCTCTTTTGTGTATTTTGGTAGGGTAGTCCTTGCAAGGGGAGTTGCTGAATCAGGATTTGAAGGCAGGATGAGGTGGGTGGTCAGATCTGCCCGCAGCAAGAGAGCGCTCTTTGCTCACTCGTACCAACACTGGATGGGGCCAGTCCTTAATGTTTCAGCCAACTTGATAGGTGGAAAACAGCCCTGAGTCTCCCTGCATTGCCTCCATTGCTAGTCGGTGGCACTGACATCTTCTAGAAGGCTGAGCTATGTCATGTGCTGCCACGAAAATCGCTAAGAGCTACGTGGAACACCTTCACACAGCAAAACCCAAAATGTGGCAAGCCTGGAACACCCCAGTGTTAGCTCTAGGTGCGTCTGGGTGGCGGGCCTTTACATTCACCATAATTAGTGTGTACTACTTTAATTTTATTTTTTGAACTTTTTGTTGAAGTGTAATACATTCAGAAAAGCACACATATAAACGTATAGCTTTCTAGATTTTCACAAACTGAACATGCCTGTGTCAGCACCATCTCAGGAAATGTTGCCAGAACCCTAGAATTCAGCTTCGGACCCCTCCCAGTTACCACCTCCCACCCCAGCGGGGGGCAACCATTCTCCCGATTAAAACCAAGGATTCCTTGGGCGCCTGGGTGGCTCAATTGGTTAAGCGACTGCCTTCGGCTCAGGTCATGATCCTGGAGTCCCGGGATTGAGTCCCGCTTCGGGCTCCCTGCTCAGCGGGGAGTTTGCTTCTCCCTCTGACCCTCCCCACTCTCATGTGCTCTCTCTCATTCTCTCTGTCTCAAATAAATAAATAAAATCTTAAAAAAAAAACAAAAACCAAGGATTCCTTTTGCCTCTTTCTGGAGTTAATATAAAGTGAACCCTACAGTCCGATTCTGTTGTGTTTGGCTTCTTCCCCTCTCCTTTATATTTTCAGATTCACCTATGTTGTGTGGTTGTGATCCGTTCATCCTCATTGCTGCATAGAATTTGAATAGACCACAGTTTATTTATCCAGTCTACTGTGGACAGTCATTGGAATTGTTTCCAGTGTGGGGCTATTACGAACAATGCTGCTATAAACATTCTTGTTAGTGGCTTTGATGAATATTTTCTGTGAGCCATATTCCTAGGTTTGCTCCATTTAAAAAAAAAATGGAGTAAAATTTACATACGCTGAAATGTACAGAATTTAGAGGTGCAGTTCAATCCATGTGGCTGTTTGGCAGTTTTTTTGTTTTTTTGTTTTTTGTTTTGAAGTTAAACATACATCTACCCGATGACCCAGCAATTCCACTCCTAGATATTTATTCAAGAGAAATGAAAACATAAGCCCACAAAAGCCTTGCCCAAGAATGTTCATAACAGCTTTATTCATAATAGCCAAACCCTGGAAACGACCCAAGCGCCCGTCAGCAGGAGAACAGAGAAACAGTGTGTTCACAGAGTGAACGCTGCTTGCTGCTAGGCAGTAGAAAGGAGCGAGGCACTGAATCGCTCACAGTGGGATGAGCCTCAGACACAGGCCGAGTCCTTACCGTGTGCTCCCCTTTCTGTGACATCCTAGAGCAGGCAAAACTAACCTGGCTGACCGGAAGGGATGGACTGGGGAGGGGCTGGCTGGGGGCACTGACAAGGGGACTGCCTAGGTGATGGAAATGTTCTGTGTCTTCACAGGGTAGTGTAAATACCACTTTTATACTAAAAAAGAAAGTGATTCTGTTATTCTTTACAAGGCAGATCAGAATGACGGCTGAAATGGGCAGCATGGTCGGCAGGGGGGCGGTGGGAACTTGCCTCAGAATTCTGCTTTGGGCTGCTTGAGGAGGTACCCAGCGCTCAGGAGGCATTTATCACCTAGAACCTGCCGCAGCCAAGGGCATGAGGAATGACTGTAGCAGGGGCTGCCAGGACAGAGAAGCTGGGAAGATAGTGGCTGATAATAAAGTGTTCAGTGGAGGTGCTCTAGTTTGTTTCTTTAAAGATTTGTGCAGAAAGTGAAGTTGCCTAATCTCTGTTGACATCTGAGCAGTGCTCTTTTCTTTTGTTAAGGAAAGAAGAAAAGAGAAAGCTGAAATTGAGTAGTAAGTGGAGTATCGCTGTTTTTCTAACTAGTCAGTGCTTGAGAGCAGTCTGACCTCGTCGGCCAGCCAAGTGCCTTCCACATATTAAACACTTGCATGGATAATGGAAATGACCCGGGGACACACTGTGAGGGCTGGGGCTGGAGTATGGCTTGTGCAGGCTCTCGGGTCCCAGTGAAATGTCCACACTCTGGGGGACTCTCAAGGCATCTCCACTATCCTTCATGGAGGTGGGGTTCCTGCCCAACCACCCCATTTTCCTGCCCCACCTCCCCTCATTTCCAGTGGCCCCTTTCCTGCTAGACCTCACCTCTCCATTCTCCGGGGGATCACCATTCCCAAATGTGCTGGTCACCACCAACACCAGCGTCTCATGCTCAAGGGACACCACATCGTACTCATCCATGCACAGGACCTGTGGACGAGGAGAAGACTGATGTCCCAGGGACTTGGCCCCTGCTTTCCTGGCACTTCTACCCTGACCCTCCCTGGCAGGGCACAGTTCAGACCCTGACTCGGGCCTGGACTCAATCCCTGAATCCATCTGGATCCCAGGCTTCCTCCTGGGCTCTGACTTGTGACCCTCTTCTGTCCTCCAGGGCACATCTGAAGTTATGGATGGGCCCCCTCCCCCTTCCCAGATCCCCACTCCACTGGGCTTAGCCCTACCCTGGGGTCGAAAGCCTTCCGGAAGAGTCTCCCCAGCTGCTGGGCGTAGCTCTGGGCCCGGCCGGTCTCGGAGCCATACAGGATGGTCGCCTTCACTCGCTTTGCCATCACGGTGCCCATGAGTGAGGCAGAGATCTTCACCGCACTGCAGGGGGGGGCAGGGTGAGGGCGGTCCCAGGCACACTGAGCCAGGGCCTCCCCAGGTGCATGGTCCAAGCAAGGTCTTGGGGCGCTGAGTGGTGGGTGTGGGGAGGTGGTGGGCCTCCCCATTGCTAGAGCTGGTCCCCTGGTGTGGGGGAAGGGCAGCACTCCTAGGGCACCTACTTGGCCACTTCCTTAAAGGTCTTCTTCCTGGTGATGCCGGCACCCTTGGATGCACTCCCCTTCCACGGGTCTGGCTGCAGGGGAGTGATGGGGGAGTGGAGGAGGAGATAAGTAAAACAAGCATTTGGAGGCCCCTGGGGGCTGCTTCGTTAGAGCTGGCCACAGTGGGCAAGAGCCAGCGGGGTGGGCACCTGATAGCGGAAGGCCGGGGACAGGACATAGTTGACCATCTCCTGATGGAAGACAGGGGTGAGGCTGCCAGAGATGGGGGGCACGATCCAGGCCCAGTCGGCAGGGCAGCCCCCCCTAGCCTTCTGCTCATTCTCCAGGTGCTTCATGAAGGAGGCGGTGGCAGCATGGTGGTCCACGATGGTCACTTTGGCCAGCTGGGGTTGGGGAGGCAGGGGCTTAGACTCAGCCTACAGACTCACACTTCTGTGACTCCAGTCACCGCTGTGCCCTGGGTCACCCCACATCTAACACATGCTGTGTTTTCCCACCATGCTGTCACCCCTAGCTGCAGCCTGTGTGGCGCGCCCAAAACTCAACAGTAGCAGCTCCAGTCTCCCACGTCTGTCTGTCCTGCCCCTGAACCAAAACATCCTGAACTCTGGCCAAGTTCTCAGCAGGTGCTAGTTTCCTCGACCAACAATGCTCAGCAGGCCTTCAGTCCTGGAGTTGGTGTTTCCAGGATCCAGGGGGTCCCACACATCACAATACCCCCTCTGCCCTGGGGGCCTGCATTACTGAGCATGTCCCAATCAGCAGGACTCCAGGCACACTCTACCCCCATACTGTGCGCCTGGAACAGTAGGTGCTGTGTCCCTAGAAGCGCAGGCCCAGTGTGCCCCATGGACCCTGGTACTCCTCCCAGCTGTGTCCAAGGCCTGCCCCCCGTCTCTAGGTGCCGCCCTCTTTTCCAGCCCCAGCCCCTCCCCTCCTGGCCGGTGTGGGTCTGTACCTGGTAACTGTGCAGCACGGCCAAGTTGATTTCCACCGCTGCCTTGTCTTTCCACAGCGATGAGGTTGTCCTGGTATCCAAGTCCATGCAGACCGCCACATCCTGGGAGCGGGGGTGCAAGGCATTGGTAGGGACAAGTATGGGGGGAGTGGACGGAGAACATCTTTGTCTGGAACTCATGACTAGAACGAGTGAGGGTAGGTAGGTGTCCATCGAGAGGCCAGACTGCTTAGTTTGGGGCCGGTTCAGGTTCTTCCCTGCAAAGGCACCCCTGAGCAGAGAGGGACCCTGGGCCAGTTACTTCTCTGCCCCGGATCTTAACTTCTCGTCTCTAAAATGACATTGTTTGCAAGATCTGCCTTGAGAATCTGAGGAAAGCTATAGAACTATAGATCCCAGAAAAATAACTGCATATTTGTACCCACGCATGTACACTCCTTTGCCCCAAATTCGCCGTCCCGGAGCCTTCCAAAATTCTAATGTAGGAGGCAGCCTGGGCCTCACTCAGGTTCTCCCAGTTGCTGACAGGGTGGGGACCTATTTGCGAGTCACAGGCTCTGGCCCAAAGGGGATGCATCCCCTTCCCTACCCACGGGTCCTCACCTCCAGGACGTTATATCTGTGAGGGTCACACAGGTTCCGCGTGCCAATCTCAGTGCTCATGTACCAGCCGCTGAAAGGGGCCGCAGGGAACTCCAGTCCCCCGATTTCCAGCAGCATGTTGCTCACTGCCGGGAGGGCATACCAGCGCAGGCCCAGGGCTGCAAACCACTCCAGCCTGGGGGTGTCCGGGTGGGGGATCAGGCTGCCTGTGGAGCCTGGCCTGCCTGGCCACCCCAGGGCATCCCCTCCTCCACCTGACTCCAGTCCCTCTCATGCTCACGTGGGGTGTTCCAGGGGCACCTCGAGGACCAGCTCAGGGGGCAGAGCAAAGAGTTCTGGGGGCTCATCTGGGGCCTGGAGCAGTAGGGGCAGCACGTCAAAGCGGCCGTTTCCTGGGGTCCAGCCGTGCTGGATGCAGAGCTGTGGGGAGCAGGGTCAGAGGTAGGTCTGAGAGGCCCAGCCTCCTGCACTCCTTGGGGACCCCCTTCATTGGCATCTCCCTCCTTCATCTCAGAGTCCCCCCTCCCTGCTCCACTGGCCACTCTTTGGCTGGACCCCCACGCCCCCTCCCAGAGCCCTCATCGGCTGGCCTCCCCCTGCTCTGCCTCTCTGTGCCCACCTCAGTGATCTCCACGTTGGCTGGGTCCCCCCGCACCGAGCCGTCCTGCTGCCTGTAGCCCGCATAGCGCACCAGTTGGCTGTTCCAGATTCGGAAGTCTCCGCGGCCTGGGGCGCGCTGGGGGAACACTGTGATGGCCGAGCTGACACATGAGAACGACAGGTGTCAGAGCCCCGCCTTCACTGCCACCGCGGGTAGGAGTGGCATCTGGCACAGTGTAGAGGGCACTCACCGGAGGTTGCCCCGGTTCGTGGCATACTTGATGTGGTTGCAGATGTAGGTGAACATCTCTTGGGCAGAGCTGCAATCCCGGGCATCGAACACCTGAGCCAGCCGAGGCAGGGGGATGGGGGGCGGGGGGGAAGGGCTCTTGAGTCTCAGCTCTAGGAGAAGGTGAGGAGGCAGGGGAGGGAGTAGCCACCTACTCTGCAGCCTCCAAAGGCTGCCGGGGTCACTTGTCATGGTTCTTTCTCCTCCGGGGAGCCTCCCTGACCATCTGCACCCACACTGACCCCGCCTTCCTCCCCTGCACACCACACACCCAACGTAGCCTGGTCTGCTCCTTATCTCCTTGCTGGGACATCTCCCCACCGCTGCAGAAGCTGACTCAGTACCTGATACAGAGGAGGGACCCAGTCACTGCCAAACTGATGATTGGGGAAGGGCACCAAGTGACAGGGAGGCCACCTAGGGGTGGGGGTGGTGAGTTCCCCATTACCCATGGTGCTCAAGCAAAGGCAGGTGACCCCAGCCAGTCAGCAGACTCTCCTTGAGCACACTGATGATGGGAAGGTGGTTGGCCGCACTAGGTGGCTGTCCGGGGAATCTGCCCATCCTGACATTCTGATGCTAGGAGAAGCACCTTGACTGGCTGAGTGGGGCCACCAGCAGGGAGCTGGGAGGTCCCTTGCCTGCTTGTGTTAGTGACAGAAGCAGGGGGTGGCAGTGGCTGGTCTGGGGCCAAGGAAGGGATGTAGCAGTGAGTGGGATCCAATATGGAAGCTCTGATGGGTTCAGAGTTGAGCTGGAGCTTTGAAAACTTCAAGGGGATGCGAGTATCAGACAGGATCGTTCTTTTATCGGAGACTCCTTTGGGGATTTACTGAGCATGTGGCTTCATTCCAAATTCTTTGGTGGCCAGCTACAGCTAAGGAGGCCCAGGTCATGGATTAAGTTCCCCTGTGGGTCAGCTTGCTTCTCTTAGGCCATTCCAGTGGTGGGAGTGTGAAGGAGGGTGTGAGGCCAAGGTGCTGGAGGATTGGGCTGGACAAGTGGGGCCACCAGGGAAGAAGCAGCAAGGGGCCTTTTCCAGAAGAATGCTTCTGTTGCTCAGACAACCCCCACCCTCCCTACCCGATCACTGCCCAGCTGTCCTCACTGACTCAGTATGTTTGGGTGTTTCTCTCTGCAGCCAGCCAAGGCATTGATATGGGGCTTAACAACCAGGTGTTAGCTATTGGGCTGAGGGCTCCCCAGGGGTACCAATCTCTGAGGGAACGGGCAAGGATCTCCCCGCTGCTTGGGACCCCATAGGGGGTCCTCAGGAGCTGCCCTCACTGCTCCTTTCCTTTTCTCTCCCCCAGTCCCGATCCTGGGTGCTTGCTGGCCAGCCACACCTGCAGCTTCCCCCACTGGATCCGGCCTACACAGCGGGGAGCATTTCGCCAGGCCTGCTTGGCCCCGAACACCAGCTCGCTCTCCCGAAGCTGGTAGGTGCCCGTGGCTGCTACCTCTGCTTCCACTTCCTGAAGCCTCTGCTCATGGGCCTGGGAGCCGCTCCTGGTGTGGAAAGGGGAGCAAAAGAAAGTCACATTGAGGGGAGAGGCTCCCCAGGCTTTGTGTGGGTGTTGGGGGGAGGTTGGTGGGTGCTGGTGTCAGGGTGGGGGATGGGAGTGGGTCCTGGGGAAGGTGATCATCCTTTCGAGGGCTTGGTAGGACCAGGGCCCCACGTCAAAGGACAAGGGTGGGCTGTGGGTCTCAAGGCATGGTCTCACCTCTTGATGGAGCTATAGTACTGGGTGATGAAGTCCCTGGCCTGGCTCAGCAGCTGCTCAGGGGGCGGAGGGTCCTGAGAGGGCCGGCTCTGCAGTTTCCGTGGAAATACCAGGGAGCCCAGGCAGCGTCTGGGGGTGCAGGGCCCATCCTGGGTTGGGGTGGAGGGCAGAGGCAGAGAGAGCAGGGAGCATGGAGGTCAGGACCAGGTCAGGGTGCAGAGGCAGCGTGGGGAGCCAGAGGGAGGGTGGGTCTGGGCAGGTGTGGGTTGAGGGCTGGGGCTGGGACTGGAAATCGGGGTGAGGTTGGGCTGGGTTGTGGCAGGACTTGGGGCAAGGGCTGGAGGCTAGGAGTCACCAGAGGCCCCTGTGTGTCCCTTAGCTCCTCTGGCTCTTCCCAGTGTCTCTTTGAGTTCAGGAGGGGACTGGCCGTAGCCATACTGACCCTGACGTGGGATGGAGAGGGCTCCCGGCCTTACCTGCTGTGACTGGGCACTCAGGGTGTCGTAGGTGATGCTCCCCACCTCCCAGTTCTTCACACGAGGGAACTTGGGCCCGTCCGGTGGCCGGGTGAGCGGGGGGCTGCTGGGACCCAGGGGAGGGGTCATGGGGGAGGAATGTATTTCCTTCTGGATGTGCCCCTAGAGACCCCTCCGGCAACATTAATAACCCCAGTGACTATTGCTCGCCTGCCTCACGCTTCCTTACGTTTCCTCTGTCAGCCCTCACAGCCACCTTAGGAGGTAGACGGTATTAGCATCCTCATTTACAGATGAGGGACCTGAGGCTCAGAAAAGTTAGGAATCTTGCCAGAGGCCCAATGGGCAGGATCAGGTCCCTTCAAAACCCAGGCCCGCCTGTCTCTTGTGTCTCCAGAGCCTGGGCTGCCCAGGGCAGCAGCGGCAGACAAGCGCCTGAGCCCCTGACCCAAGGCTGGGTCCTCATCCCTGTTCAGGGCCCACCTCGCCTCCTCTGGATGCGGGGTGTCCCGCCCCCTGGAGTTGTGGTGAACCCTACTTTGAGGGGGACGGAGCCCGTGGCTGAGCTGAGGGAAGCCCCCGCAGGGATTCCTCAGCCCAGATTTCCCTCCCCACTCATACCCCTCCTGACAGTAACCATCGTGTGAAGGGAAGCCTCAGAGGCCTTATCACTTCCTCCCAGAGGCTGAGGCCTGCGTCGGGGAGGAAGGGAGGGACTCGGACCTCGGGTGCGCCGGTGCGGAGCCTTCCCTGCAGAGCTACCTCCAGCCCCTGGCCACCCTGCCTGGCCTGGCACCCCACCTGGCCTCCAGCTGCCCTTTCTCCCTTCTGGGGGCTGAGGATGCCAGGTTAGTTTCGGGGTTGACGGCCACTAGGAGGTGGGGCCAGGAGTCGAGGAAAAAGGCCTGTTTGCTCTGTCTTTTCAGCCTCCCACCCCAAGGGCCTGAGTCTCCTGGGCCAACTCTCTCCCCTTTCTGTGAGCGGGTCTTCTCACTCTCCCGTAACTATCCTCCGCAGCCTCTTTTTTCTGTTAAGTAATCATCAGTGTCTGTTGAAGGCTTGCCATGAGCTAGAAACTTATAACAGTTCCATGGAGTAATCACTGCTCTGTCCTTATTCTATATACATGAAGGCTCAGAGAGGTTAAGTGACTTGCTCAAAGTCAAACAGCTCTTGGCAGCAGAGCAGCACTCAAACCTGGTCAACTGGCACCCTTACCCCCTGCTTTCACCTGTTGCCTGCTGGTCCTGATCCTGGTTTCTTATCTGAGCCTCCCTGATTGTCCTGTTCTTTCTGTACTGAGCCCTTTTGTGTGGGGGCCCCGGACCTCCTGGCTGAGCTACAGGCTCCAGCCCTTGCCAGCCCGGGGCTCCTGGGCCTGACGCCCTCCCTCTTGCCCCCTGCCTCTAGCCGCCCGGGCCCTTACCTGAGGTCTGGTGCTGGTGGGGGCGCGGGTGCTGGTGCCCTGCTCGGCTCTGAGGAGGTCGGGGAGGCAGGGCCCTGCTTGCCGCACAGCCCCAGGCCCAGGCCCAGCCCCAGGCCACATGGGGGCCTGGGCTCCTGGCCCACACTCTTCAAGTTGCCCATGTTCAGCCTTGCCTCAGCTCTGGCCCTCCAAGCAGAGCCCAGACCTTTTCCTTAGGAAGGGGAGGGGGCAGTGGGAGGGGGCTCTCTGGTGCTGGCCCTTGCCCCGCCCCTGCCCCACACACAATGGGACAGGAACAAGGCAGGCTGGGAGGCTCTAAAGGCTCGGCTCCATGCCCGCCCAGAGGGTGGGGGCCGGACGCCTGGGTTCCGCTCGGAGGACTAGGACTGATAAGTGGGAAGCCAGGTGTTCTTGGAGCCCTGGGGCTGGAGCGCAGGAGCAGGGGTGTGTGTGTGGGGGTGTAGGTGGGGGTAGGGGGCAGGGGTGGAGTTGGCAGGGTGGACAATCAGAGGGTCAGAGAGGTCCTTGCGTGTTGTCTGGCTGGAGCAGAGGACTTCCACCTTGCCCTGGCTGGCCTTGCTCTGAGGGGTTGGGGGGGGAGGTGAGCACTGTGTCAACATCAGGGGATGGTTCCCATACTCTGAGTGACCACAGGGACCTCTAGGGTCACTGCAGGTGCTCTCCTTCCCTGCCCTGTCTACAGCTAAGCACTCCTGGACCCCCACCTTGGAATGCTTTGGAGATCTTGTGGATACAGTTCAGCAAGGATGCAGTGACCCTTTGTCCTTGAGTCTGGCATTAGGGTATCCCTTCCCCTCCCAGCCCCAATTTCCTGGAACCCCCGCCCCCCATGACTCAAGTGGGGGACACAAAAGAGCAGGAAGCTGCCATCCAGGGCCTCCACCCCCACCCTGTCATCCAGTGACGCATGCTTCCCTGGGGGTGGTAGGTCAGCAGATAGACCCAGCAGTCAGTGCTGAGCAGGGACTGCCCACTGGGAAGATCTTGGAGTCCTAGCAAGAGCATGGGGCTAGGGAAACTACAATTCCCAGAGTGCAGATGGTGCACACCAGCTCTCTTCACGTACCTTGGGCAGTCGTGCAAACTGGGGTTTGTAGTTCTAAGCCATTGGGGGGCTGGAGAAAGGTGAGCAGGGGCATCTGGGTCTGCAGGAGTCTGAGCCTCGTGGATTTGAGACCACAGAGACTAAGAGAAACTGTGGGCAAGAAACGGAAGTTGAGAGACTGGGATAGGCAGAGACTGGGAGAGGCAGACAGGCAGACAAACAAACACGTAGATTTGTGTTGGCTGGACTCCTTTGAAAAGCAGTGGAGGATAAGATTGGGGTGGGCCTGGGTGGGAGCCGGGCAGGCGGATCAGCCGGAAGGAACAGGCTGTGCTGCGAGCTCTGGGGTCATACCAAGAAGTTAGGGTCGGCCAGTTTGGAGGGAGGAGGGCGAGGGGACCTTGTAACCATGGAGAAGCCTGAGCTCCTGGACACCTGGAGAGCTTTGCTGCCCCTCTTTCACAAAGGGGCAGGTGGGAGTCAGAAGCACAATGCCTATGCTCAGTCCAGACCTGTCCCTACGCCCCGGAGCCTGAGGCTCCGCCCCACTCACCCCCCTTTCCCAGCAAGGCAGGAGGCGGATCCAGGCCCCTACCTCTCAGACATCTTCACCAGACCCCATTTCTGGTTCCCATTCAGCCACTACCTAAAATGCACATGACCGGGAAGGACTCTACCTACACTCCAGGTAATGGAGCAGTGGCTGGCCTCCTCAGGGACAAGGTGACAATAAGCATCAGATGCTGAGTTCTCCTGAGCAGTTGCCTGCACCATTTACCAAAGCCACTCCCTGTGGTCTCCTGACCTTGGGACCTCCCCTCCCCTCTGTGCTTCCCACTGCTGCTAGAATCATCTCAAAAGCAGGGCTCACCTCTTGCCCTGGCCCTCCCTGAAACCTTCCACCCAAGGCCAAGGCCCAGTACCACCCTGGCCCAGCCGTCGATTTCCCAAGTATGCTGCTCACACCTTCTGTTCTGGACAAAGGGGTTTCCTCATGGATCCCCAGACAGTTTTCAGGCCCTTGCCTGTTGCTGTCCCTTGATCTCACCCTTTGCCCTCTGACTAAAGAGAATCTTTCTTCCTCTTCCTCATGGCTCAGCCCTGGCAGCTCTGGAGGTAACCTGCCCAGGTCTCCCTTCCAGAGAGAACCTGCTACAGGAACTGCCTGCCTTCGGAATCTGCCCAGGGCTCAAGGCCACATGCTCCCCTGGAAGCTTCCCTGAGCCATGGGGAGTCTGTGGGCTCGCCAGTTCTGCCCAGCCGGCACTCCTCTGTGGCCAGTCTTGATGTGGAGCCCCTGTTGGCCTGCCAGAGAGCTTCTCAGAGCTCACTGTGCTCTGAGCCTCTTCTTCGCTGTTTCTTCTTCCTTCTCTCCTTCCATAAATATGAGACCTGCCTCCCCATTATCTTTCGCAGACACGACCCCCAATCAATCTCTTATGAGATGTCCAAGATGGGGCACTTTCTGGCCACAGGGAGATCGGGGACAGTTCCATACAGCACTGGTGGCTGTATTGATGTTGATCTGGGCCAAGGGAGCCATGGCAGAGGTTTTAGGAAGAGGAGAAAGAGTCAAAGGAGAGACAGAAAGGCTTTGTCTGGGAAGGTTTTCTTCTCCCACTTTTCCTAGGGCTGTGGCTGGCATTGGCCCTGGTGTCCTAACTTCCATTGAGGGACTCTAGCCTTCCCAAATCTTCCAGATGGGGAGATGGGGCCTTTCTCTTTCCTCCCCAGGGCCCTTCCCAGTCTTGTCTCTCTCCACCTTGCTCTTTGTCTGTCATCCCTACTAGGGCATTAAGGCTTATGCGGCTCAGTGGCCCACTGCTCTTATTAGCAACCGCACTTTGAAGAGTAATTTCTGAAAAGACAAAATTTTCAAGACCCACAGACTTGAAGTTCCACTGAGAGGCAAGCAATTTTAGCTTTGAATTGTGGGATTTTGAGCTGGAAGGTCTTTGGGAGCCCAGCCCCTGGGTCTCAGGGATTGGCTGTGTTCTTTGCCATTGGGAAGGCTGGTCCAGACCCCACCCCCATCTGCCTTGGTCAGTGCAGGTGACAGACCCTTTTGTGGGTAAGTAGCCAGGCCCATGGCTCCTCCTTTAGAAGGAGGTAAATCTTTTTCCTGTCTTCCCTTCAAAGCAGAGCTCTGGGCAGGGCTTGAGATGGGATGCCCTGACCTTGGGGGAGGGAAAGCTCTGGCCTTGAAGGGGGTGCGTGGGGCTGTGGGGGCTGTGGAGGGTGGCGGGTGACGGGAGCGGAAGGCCCTGACTCTTTATAGCCCAGCCCGGAGTTGTTCAGTGTGAGCTGGAAGTGCCCCACCCTCCCCACTATGAGCAGCTTCCTTCCTGCCTGCTGGCAAGGCCTGGGTGGGGAGCTGAGGGAAAAGGAGGCAAGGGAAGGGGGGGAAGCCAGCAGAGGGAGGGGAGCAGCCCTTCTTTAGTTTAGGAGCCTCTGTCTGATGTAACTCATGCTGTGCTGGGAGGTTGGGTTGGGAGCTGAGAGGTTTGCCCAGCTTCCCGATTGCAAGGTGGAACTGGATATTTCGGGAAGGGCTTTGGGCAGAGTCTGGGGTATTTAGGACTCAGGCAGTGGGAGATGTTGCCCTTCTAAAAGGGGCTCCTGAGCGGGCACTGGGGAGCCATCATGCAGCCCCAACCCTTCTTAAGGAAGCCACATGAGGGCAGCAGAGAGCTGAAGAGAAGAGGTTGGAGCAAAGGCCTGGGATCAGGCGTCCCTAAACAATGATACCCAGAATGAGCAAGGGCCCAGCGGCACGTGCCTCTGGGCTCAGCTGGGGTGGGGGTCCACATTAATCCTCTGGGACCCTGAAGTGGTTCATTTGCATAAGCCTGGAGGTCCTGATGATGACTCTGGGACCAGCCCACTCCAGGAGAACAGGGGTGTCTTCTCTTGGGAAACCTCTCTGCTGCTGCACAGACCATGCCAGGTAGGGTGAATCAAAGGCACAGGGAGTGATGTTCAGCACAGCCGGAGGCGTGAGCACCAGGGGCCATGGCTCCTGAGGGAGGAGGCAGTTGCAGCCGCTGCTGGGGAGTTGTGGGAAAGAGTGCAGGGGCCTCACTCTGGAGCTTGTAACTGCCGCCCCTGTCCCACAGGTGGGCTCCCAAGGGCACGCTGACCCTTTTCTGGATACTCTTCTGTCTCCTGGCTTTCAGATTGGTAGGAAAGTGAGGGGGCAGGGAGACCTCTGAGAATCTTAAGACCTTGCCCTGAGTGACCTGTGACTATCAGCCTTTGGGGACTCCTGGGGAGTTTGCACTAACTTCCTGAGAGAGACCTGGGTATCTCCAGGCCTTGATTCTCCTGGAGGTTTAGACTCTTTCTGCTGAGCCAGAGCCCTGAGCAGATTTTGTGCCCATGCCTGTGTGTGTGTGTCTGTTTGTAAGTAGGAACATGTGTGAGTGTGTATGGATGTGTGTGAATGTGTGTATATATGAGTGAATATGTATGTGTATGTGTGCATATGTGTAAGCACACATATCACACATATGTATGTGCCCTTGGGCAGTGTTTCCTGGAGCTCCCTCCTTGACCTGCCTCCTCTTTTAGTTCCTGTCCCTTCAAAGCTAATTTGAACTGAGAACATCAGGATGGATATGAATGTTTTCACATCCATGGGACTTGAAACTGCCCTTTGTTCCTGGGATCCAGAGTGAAAATGGGGAGTTTTTAGGGTCAAGCTGGGGTCTCCTGAATGATGATCATGGGGGCCCCTGATGTAGGCAGTGGAGGCTCCTCAAAGAAGGCCACAGTCGTCAGGGATCAGTCTCACAGGCCTGCCCCTGTTCCCCCTCCGGCCTCCCCTCTTTTCTCCTCCAGCCCTTCAGCCTGGCCCAGTTTCCTGGTGTGGTTCCTGTGGTGCTGGGTCTCTTGGGAACTGGGACTTTGAGCATCAAGTGTGCCCAGCCTGGTGATTCCATAGCAACCATCATGAGGACTGGCTGGGCAGAACCCCTTCTGCCTGCTTCTCAGGTGCCCTGGGGAGGGACCAGGCCCTCTCTCTAACCCAGGGGGAGAGGAGAAGCCTATAGATAGATCCTCTAGATTGATTTGTGAAATACAGAGACCCTGATCCCAAACCCTGATAGACCTTTAGCCATTGTGTTGTCTTCCTGCCCTCCCAATTGGATTATAAACCCCTTGACTCCCAGTGACCAGCAAACTAGATGTTCCTGGTACATTTGCTGTTGATGATGATGTGGGCCTTTCTTGGGGTTCCCATTCTGTTCTCTGGCTTCCGAAATTCCAGCCTAGGCTGCCGTAGGAACTGGCCAACCTCAGTGCCTAGAGGAGCCTGATTTAGCTGCTGTTCTGCCTCGTGCATCCAGAAGAGGGAGCGCCTGAGCTCTTTCTTTTTCAGGGGAGAAAAATTGTATCCTCTCTTCTTGGACATTCTGGGCCCCTGCACATAATCTGCTTCTGCTATCACCTTCACACCCTCACCAGCTCTGTCTTCCTACAAGAAGGCCTCAGTCTGGACTGCTGTTATCCAGAGGGACAGAGATGAGGTGTCCTGGCCACTCAGCTAAATTTTCCCTAAACCCTGCTTTATAAAGCCTTGCCTTCCCTTCCCTTCCAGGCTTAAAATTATCTCTTCCTACTCTGAAGTCAAAGCATTTATGGTTTGCACCACTTCTTGCCACTTGGGATCTAGGACCATGTGACATCTCTTGTTGGCTGCCATTCGTTGTATTTAGCCCCTGCAATACATTATCTATTCACATGTGAGCACTTTTTCTTCCCAACTAAGTGCGAACTTTTCAAGGTCCAGAGGCTGGATTATATGTCCTTATTTCTCTAGGGCTCTCTTACAGTATGGGACACATACAGAGTGATGGATAATCATTTGTGAGTAGATTGGGAAGACGATGGAGTGGAAGACCTGGTAGGACCTGAGTTCTCTTTTCTGGTCCTTCATGTTGGTCGATGATTCATGGGGTGGGATAGCTACCCTTCAAGATGTGGAGCTAGTTTGGGGTTAGCATTCCCATGCTCATCCTCCCTCCCAAGCTGGGGGAGGCTCTGAATTCTGCCTGATGAGTTTAGCAGAATGAACAGGGAATAGTTCTGGAGAGCTGACATAGCTACCTCTGTATTTAGAATTCTCTGGGTCTTGTATCTTTTTTCTCTCTCTCTCTCATATATACACCTTGAAATCCTGTTTTCTTTTTTTTTTTTTTAAAGATTTTATTTATTTATTTGAGAGAGAACTAGCATAGGGGAGAGGCAGAGCAAGAGGGAGAAGCAGGCTCTGAGCAGGGAGCCCGATGTGGGGCTCGATCCAGGACCCTGAGATCATGACCTGAGCTGAAGGTAGATGCTTAAC